ATGAAGAACTCCATGGACACAAGGAAAGTATTAGCCCAAGAGACAGAAAGGGCCACATAAACCAGAGGCTTCATCAGGCTGAGACCAGAAGAGCTAGATGGTGCCCAGCTACCACCAATGACCACCCTGACAGGGAACACAACAGAGAGTCCCTGATGGAGCAGGAGAAAAGTGGGGTGCAGAACTCAAATTCTAGTAAAGAGACCATAGTTCATAGTTTGATTGAGACTGGAAGGACCATAGAAGACATGGCCCTCAGACTCTGTTAGCCCAAAACTAAATCCATTCCCTAGGCCAACTTTTCAGACAAAGATTAGACTGGACTATGGGACATAAAATGATACTTGGTGAAGAGTGTGCTTCTTAGCTCAAGTAGATACATGAGACTAAATGGGCAGCTCTTGTCGGAAGGCGAGATGAGAAGGCAGAGAGGGTCAGGAGCTGGTTGAATGGACACGGCAAATCCAGGGTGGAAAGGAGGAGTGTGCTGTCACAGTATAGGGAGAGCAACTAGGGTCACATAATAATGTATGTATAAATTTTTGTGTGAGAGACTAACTTGAATTGTAAACTTTCACTTAAAGCACAATAAAACAAAGTACAATAATAAATAAAAAGACTTCACTAGAAAAGTGAAAAGACAAGCTTCTGAGTGGGAGAATATCTTCGGAAACTATACTACTGACAAGAATCTAATAACCAAATAATGTATAAAACTTTGACAACTTAACAACAAAAAGAGAAATAGCCCAATCATAAAATGAGCAAAGGGCTCGAATAGACATTTCACCAAAGAGGACATTCAAATGGCCACCAAACACACGAAAAGATGTTCAGCATCATTACTCGTAAGAGACATGAAAATCAAAACCACTATGAGATAACATTTTACTCCCACTAGGACAGCTAAGACTTAAAAAAAAAAAAGCAAAACATAATAAATGTTGGCAAAGATGTGGGGAAATTGGAACCATTAACCATTGCTGGTGAGAAAGCAAAATGGTACAACAACTGTGGAAAACAGTGTGGCAGTTCCTCATAAAACTAAAAATACAATTGCCATACCCCCAAAAACAAACAAACAAAAAATACAACATTTGACCCAGCAATTCCACTCTTAGGTATACACTCAAAAGACTTGAAAGCAGAGATTCAAGAAGAGACTTGTACACCAATGTTCATTGCAGCACTATTCACAATAGCCAAAAGGTGGCAACAACCTAAACGTCCATCAACAGATGAATGGATAAACAAAATGTGGTACATACATACAATGGAATACTACTCAGCCAGTAGAAGAAATGGAGTCTTGATACAGTGTGGATGGAGCTTGAAGACATTATGCTGAGTGAAATAAGTCAATCACAAAAGGAGACCTCATTTATATAAAAAGATAAGAAAAGGCCAATGTATCAAGACCAAAGTTTATTAGAGATTACATCGGGAGGGAGGGAGAAAAGGGGGGTTTACTATGATGGAAAAATTGCATTAAGGGTATTTATTGCACAGCCAATTATTGTAATTGCTGTCAATAAGTGTACACCTGTAAAAAGTTGAATTAGCAGAAGTTGTGCGATATATTTACAACCACCACCAAAAAAAAAAAAAAGAGTAGCTTCTGAGACTGCTTATGTACAACACCTCATGGGATTTGGCTCCTTGGTTTGGAGATTTATGGTCATGGTTTCATGGGACATCCCAGTTAATTGGCCTGATAACATGTTTAGTGCTTCTGTTCTACTTTCTACTTCATTGTGTAGTGCCTGGGGTCTTAAAAGCTTTCAAGCGACCGTCCAAGGCACAACAACTCGTCTCTACTCACCTGGAGCAACAGAGGAAGGAGAATCAGGAATAGGAGGAGGATATGCAATGTGGGGCTAATTGCCTCCATTAACAATTGCCTCCTTTGCCATGAGACCAGAACTGGGTGGTGCCCAGCTACCTTTTTTTTTTTTTTAAATAGTACTTTAGATGAAGGTTTACAAACCAGTTTCTCATTAAACAATTCATACACATATTGTTTTGTGACATTGGTTGCTAACCCCACAACGTGTCAACACTCTCCCCTTCTCAACCTTGGGTTCCCAATTATTAGCTTCTTTGTCCCCTACTGCCTTCTTGTCCTTGCCCCTGGGCTGGTGTGCCCATTTAGTCTCATTTTGTTTTATGGGCCTGTTTAATCTTTGGCTGAAGGGTGAACCTCAGGAGTGACTTCATTACTGAGCTATAAGCGTATCCAGGTGCCATAGTCTCAGGGTTTCTCCAGTCACAGTCAGACCAGTAAGTCTGGTCTTTTTTGTGCGTGAGTTAGAATTTTGTTCTACATTTTTCTCCAGCTCTGTCCGGGACCCTCTACTGTGATGCCTGTCAGAGCAGTCAGTGGTGGTAGCCAGGCACCATCTAGTTGTGCTGAATTCAGTTTGATGGAGGCTGTGGTCCTTGTGGTCCATTAAGTCCTTTGGACTAATCCTTCCCTTGTGTCTTTGGTTTTCTTCATTCTCCCTTGCTCCAGATGGGGTGGGACCAGTGGAGTATACTTAGATGGCCACTCAAAAGGTTTTAAGGCCCCAGACGCTACTCACCAAAGTAGGATGTAGAACATTTTCTTTATAAACTGTTATGCCAGTTGAGCTAGATGTCCCCCGAAATCATGGTTCCCAGCCCTCAGCCCAGTAATTCAGTCCCTCAGGGAGTTTGGATGTGTCTATGAAGCTTCCATGATCTTGCCTTGGTCAAGTTGTACCGACTTCCCAAAAACTGTGTACTGTCTTACCCTTCAGAATTGGTGTATGTTTTGCTATGTATATTCTCAATATAGAAAAGTTTTATTACACATTGGAAATTAAGATCACATATTCCTATGACATGAATGCAGAGCTAACATTTACTTTGGCCTTTTATTACTAAGTGGATTCAGCCATTAGACCGGCAGTCTACTGGCAGAAACCTCACTTGAGCAGAACAAATTGAGTCTTCCCATGTAATGTCATGCACTACAAAAACAAAGAAAAGAAAAACACCCAAAGACAAGCAGGACAGTGGGCATCATCTCTTCCCTTCATTAATCATTAACCGGGTAGGCTGTGGGGTCCCCTTCCACTCTGAGTAGGTGACTGAAACATAATTTTTGCACTTTAAGAACTGCCACTATCACCAGGTATACTCCACCCATCTTCTCAGGTGGATATAACTTTTAAGTATCTTTAAGGGGCAAACATTTCCTAAAGTTGAACAAAACTCTAAGCACACAGTTGTAGACATTCAATAGATGTCTTCAGAATAAATGCTATCTTCTCTCCACTTGAAAGTTGGCTCAAATGACCATCTCTGGGAAGACTGTCCAGGATTACTAAGGTACCTTAAACTTTCATACTCACTGATGTTATTTTAACCATATTTATGTTTTCTATGACTGAGCTGAAGTAAATTTTAGGCATCAAGCCAATAAAACCATGTAGTCAACATTTTACAAAAATACATCTTTATTGTGTTTCAGTGTTCTTGCGTTACACAGATTCCTCACCATATACACTTAATCTTCATGTTAAATAGAAACTAGCAAAACTGCTGAAATATCCCTCCAGGTCATGAATTATTAAAAACGTACTGTAGGATGATAAAATTGCTTTAAATCACCTAACTCTGAAAATTGTTAACTATAACCAAACATAAATGTTTAAAGAAGCAATAAAGTGTAAAGTGATATGGAACAAAACTATGGTGGGCTTTTCGACTCTGTGTCCAGTGAGCTAGGCAAGTCAACACTTTACTTAAAACTTGAGCACTGCAGTGGCTGCATCAAATTACAGGTCAATCTCGAAGGCAACCCCAGGGGAGTGTAGCCAAAAGAGTTAGTAGAGTCACACGACTTCCGGAGGCTCCAAAGGTGAGGAAAACATCCACCACGCCCCCAAAGCCGTTCCCAGAGTCCTAACTTAAAATCAGATTACTAAAAAATGACCAAGGATTTGAGTATGTCTTGAATATTCACAATTGTAGCAACATGTACACACAAAAACTGGAAATCTCTCACTGAATATCAAAATGGTTAGGTTCAAATGTTAACCACAAAAGAAGATGTTATTGGAGCTAAACACCCAAGCCAGAATTAGCCCAACATGTTTCTTCTTTGAATTTGTAGATCTAAATCCTTGAAAGGCACGAGGTGCCTGTCTCTCTTCCAGTCTTCTCTCACAGGAGATGTACAAAAGCAGAGAAGACCTCCGGCTCACAGGCCTTCACAACCTTCCTGAGTGCTGCAGCAATTCAAACAGCTTATGAGATGGTGCTAAAAATTACCCAAGGCCCAAACTCCACAGGGGGCAAAGTTCAGCCCAAACGGTTTCCATTTCTTGCTAGAAACAGCTCCGTCCCCAACAGTCCAGAAACTAAAGGATAAATCTCTCGTGGAGTTGGAGGACAGCTTGTAATTATTTCTAAGCTTGGTGACAAGGATGGTCACAACCATTTCCCAAAGGCATGCATGCAGACAAGTTCCCACAGTGGGGTCAGTTACGAGATTCTGAGGCCGTGGGGCTCCGGACTGTGGACATAAGATGCGACTTATAGGTTTTGCTCAAGCCTGTCATCCAAAACTTCAGCAGCTTGACGTTGTCTTCCTCCGAAGCCCCGAGGATACTCAGGAGTTTCTGCGTGTCCTCTTTTGGGCGACTGTCCACCTTGGTGAATTTAAAAAGGACCTTCACTTTGCTGTAGAAAACCAAAGACAAAACACTCAGATACTACAGCACAACAAGAGTTCTGATCACTGGGGTTAAGTGGCTTTCAGACCAGTGGGAGGTCTGCGAGTGGAGCTGGAATTCAAGAACTTGGGGGCAGCAGGAGGCCTACCTCAACACCAACAGGCCTTTCGTTTGCCCATCACATCTAACCCTGGGTAAGAAAACCACAGCATCAACAGGAAAAAAAATTTGTTCCTTAAATTCATGGAAGGGATTGGTTCCTCCTAAGCTTTACTGTATTATTTGAAATCAGGACAATGTGTGACTAGTAAAAATTTGACCAAAAAATTACTAAAATAATTTGCTTTAAAAAAGGGAGCACATTTTCTCTTTCAGATTTTTAAAGTTAATCAAGCACAAAATAACCGAGCTTCCATCAGAGGACACCTCTTGCATGAGCTTAGTGTCCTCACTTGACACTCAACAACCCCTGGAGGTAGAAACAATCCTCATTTTACAGAGGAGCAACCTGAGGCTCGGTCACATTGGGTTACTTGCAAAAGACAAACTCTTAGAGGCAAAGGATGTGTCCTTACTTCATCCACTCTTCCTTGAGGCAGACAAGGCACTGGTCAACCACATCCACAGATAGATTCTGATTGGTCAGAGCAGCTTCGATCTTATTCAGGATGGTGGGGCCAACTGGGAACAGGGGTGGAGGCAAAGCAAGAGTCAGCAACATACATGGAGAGAGATACAGGCTAATGCTCTCCCTACTGCTCTCCCAGGGCAGAAGCCTTCTCTGATGGAAGGTAACCCACTCAGCAGCACCCACCTCGGTCTGCAGACACGGGGCTCCCACTAGTCACCACAAACTCATACTTGCTGAGAGACTGGTCATCCTCAGGCCCCACTGGGTAGAGGCTGGAGCGGGGGACTGTGTGGACCTCCACAATGACAGCAAACTCTGCAGCAGCATGAAAACACATCACTCCATTAGGTGCCCCTCATCTCCACCCCTTAAAACATTCCCTTCATTCTGCCACTCCAAATTACTTCAGGTCAACTAGGGAAAAACTGCCAGGCCAAAGTCTTCTGAGAGTAATGCTGTGACACTTAAAACCTTTTGTATTTTATTTGTGAATAAAGGGCTAATTTTTGTCCCAGTTAAACTATTAATGATATTACATTATAATAAATATTAATTACTCTATAAACAATTCACTTAATATGCAACAGCCCTATGAGGTTGATCCCACTGTTACCCCTTTTTATAGACAGGGAAAACAGATGAAGACAAGTTAACTGACTTGCCCAAAGTCGCACAGCTAGTGGTGGGTAAGAACATCTGCCCCAACTGTGGTTTCAGAGGGTCCCTAACACTCCCAGCAGAAGTCACCATCCCTCAGGGCCTCATCCCCTGCGGCTGAGACTGAGAACACTGTGTGGATATGACAGCACAGGGACTGCCCCCCAGGCTTGCCTGGGAAAGCTAGACCTGTGCCCAGGCTGACTGCTGGATGTCCTCAAACCAGAAGATGAAGGATGACCAGCTCCCTAAGTTCATCAGCACTGAGGGTGTGAGCCAGGCTGGGCAAGCCCCATTGTACTACTGAATACTGAAGGTCCAGAGCAGACTGAAGGTACAGGAAAGAAAGAAGAAACCAGAGAAGAAAGAAGTATAACCAGAGAGCAACAAGAGAGAAAAGGCAGGAGAATGACACTTGTGGCAGACAGAAGTTATAGCATCAGAGAGGAGACCTTAGCCCTCTCGATGCATCAGGAAGGTGAAGTGACAGTCCCTGGCAGTCTGTCCATGCTGTCCTCAGTGGACACACTTCCTCCCAGTCCCAGGAATACAACTTGTTGCCCACTGAGAATTACAGCCCAGTAAGCCACCCCTATACCAGCCATACAGTTCAAACCCATTTACCCCCTCCCCCACTGCCCTGCTCCCAATTTTAAAGGCAGAAACCAGAGGCCACGGCCGTTCAGCACTGGAACACAGTGGATGGAAGTGCCAGGTCAACTCCCACTGGTTGGTGGAAAAGTTGGGTCTAGAACTTGGGTCCTCCTGCCTGCAGGCCCAGCAGGCAGCCCCATCATGCCACAGCTAGGACCTAATCCCACTTCTGAGCCTGAAGTCTGTGGACTCTCCAATCAGGCCAGTCCATGACCCACACATACCTGAGGATAGCACATGGTGGGGGATCTGCACCTGTGGGCTGAGCCCCAGGAAGTTGCACCGATACGCTTCCTCGTACTGGTTGCTGTAAGGGATGATGCGGACACAGCCTACAGGCAGCATGGTCTAGAGAGGACAAAAGCGACTCAGAACCAACAGCATCCAGAAATACCCTCTGCTCACCTGTCTCCATCTTCAAACCCCTCAATCCTCCAAGATTTCTCTGCCCTCAGCCCCATGGGAACACCTCCCACTCTAAGAGCCAACTCTCATCTTGGCATTGGTCACACACGGACTGTGTTCGATGGTGTTAATTCCTATTCTGTTCTTTGACATCTCAGTCTCTTTCCGTCCCACAGAGATCGTACATTTGTGGAGAGGCTATGTCACATTCATTTTTGTACCCTCACAGGCCTGGGCAGGTAGGCAAACACTTTCTACTGATTTAAATGTTACTCGGAGCCAGCTAGGCCTTGGCTCTCCACTTCTCCCATCAGAGCGGGACAGCTTGCTACAGCTGCACCCCACCACCCAGTCATCAAGAACACTCTGCAAGAAACGCAATGGCCTGGCTTGCTTCAACAGCAGCCAGAAACCTCTCCAATGGCCTTTTAGTGGGATTCGAGGATTAGGCTGTTAGTTATCAATCTACCAGGATAGTATAGCTTCCTTCCACCAGAAAGAAAAACCATCAATGACCACCATCTTTAACAGTGGAGAAAACACAGGTCTAGCTTAGGTCCATCACTGACCCTTTCAAGAGGTTTTGCCCTGAGCACCCAACATTCATACCTAAAGTCAGAATTTTTTTTAAACCTGCTGGGCATGTACTGTCCTGCTACAATACACACTAGGAAAAAGATGCTCTTACCCGAAGAACTTCAAAAGCTGACTGGACAAGGTCTATGTCTCTGCTCTTCCAGATAACCTGGTTCCCCATGAGAACATGCCAGGCCAACATGCGGAAAGACGGGGCACCCAGGACCTGAGAAAGACAACTCAGTGCTTGCTGCATGATCAAGAGAAACATGTCTTTTTCCTCCAGTCGAAGTTAGGTATTCTATTCACGTGTTCTTCTAGAAACTTCTCTTGTACGGTGAAAGATGGGATCAGAAGAAAGGCATTTATCCTCTCAGAGACTTGCCCGAGGACAAAAGCTTACGTGATAGAAGTCCCAGGATTTGCACCTAAAAACCTGATTCCAAAGCTCTTGCACACATTAATATCTTTTTTCCCAATTTTAGTTTTAAAAATTTGAAGCAGGAAAAGTTGTTAGCTTTCTGCAACATTCACCTTCTTTCTGTGAACATAGTTTATTTTGCTGAGCCATTTGAAAGGCAGCTGCAGACATCACGACACTGGCTAAGAACACCCCTGATGCATGGACACCCCTGGAGATGCAACACTAATATAACCACATCTGATATTCAGTCCCATTTCAGAGCCCAGGCTTTCTAACAATGCCCTTTACAGCTGTGATCTTATGATCCAGGATCCACTGAAGGATCATGATTGCTTTTAGTTGCCATGTCTTTATTCTTCTTCAATACAGAACAATCCCTCTCCCCAGTCTACCTCTTATCAACGTCCATGACCCTGGCATTTTTGAAGAGTCTAGCCTGTCATCCTATGGCACGTTGGTTTGAAAAACAAAAAAGAGGCTACAATATCACATTTAATGAAATCCCAACAGCATCCAAGTACTTCTCAGCTTTCACAGAATCCAAGATTCCCTCCAACCTTAATCTAAGTAAACACTCAACAAGGATGATTTCAGCCAAATACATGATTTTCATGCATGAATGTTTTCCATTCAGAAGCCCCAGTCTTCTTCATTACTCCATTTTCCAAAACAGAGATAACCATCTTCTAATAAAATTAATGCTCATTGTAAAAATAAATACAGGAAAGTGTTACCAAGAAAAAAAAGGAAAAACTACCCTCATAATCTCGCTGTGTCCCCTTCTATAACCACATGTCCAATATAACCAGTCGGTCAATACTGCTTTATGTGTATGGGTACCTAGGCTCTGGCTGTGGTTGTAGCGTGCATGTGCATACATATCTGCATCCTCCTGGGTGCAGTGCACAGGTGCTTCTTGTACTTAACGGCAGCCTGAGTGTGGATGTGCCATAACGACTGCAGCTGAACATCTAAGCTACTTACAGTTTTTTGTAACAACAGCTATAATCTTCAGTCTGCAACAGTCTAGGCCGCATGCAAGCCAGTAACGTTGTTTGGTGCCATCGAGTCGATTTTCAACTCACATCTACCCAATGTGACAGAGTAGAACTGTCCCGTAGGATTTTTTAGGCTGTAATCTTTACAGAAACAGATCACCAGGTCTTTTCTCCCACGGAGTCACTGAGTGGGTTCGAACTGTGACCTTTCAGTTAGCAGCCTAGCGCTTAACCACTGCACCACCACGGCTCCTAAACCAGTAATACTATAGTTCAATACTTTTAGAAGGTTCTAGAATTACAAGATTAGAGAGGACCATGAGAAACCAGCCATCAGGCCCCTTCTCTGAAGAATGACATCTACGTTGTCACTGTAAGGGGAATGGTCTGCCTCTATGCCTCTTTTCCAGTATGCTTAAGTAAAGGCCTTGGACCCAGAACATTCTCTGATAAGGAGACTGGTAACTGAGTCACCTTCTCTCTCGCAGTTCCTTCTTATCAGAGAGAAACTTACCCCTGTTCTGGGCACAGTAACTTTCTGTCTCTTGCAACATGCAGGCACCATACAGCATGTGGCCAGCCTCATTTCTATATCTGTTCCCAGCGGGGAGGGAACAGGGTCTCTAATACTACAGCACAAGAGGGGGAACAGCACAAGAAAGAAAACGTGCCAGACTGTAAGAGCTGGCCTTGAGGGGTGGACTGAAGGGGAAACAGGCTTTGTGAGGCTGAACATGGGTGCTCCCATGTGGTCTACTAGTTCACTACAGTTTGCATTCTTATGTAAGCCCCTGGCATGAAGCCACCATTGTCCACCACCACTATAAAACCTCTGCCCTTCGAGCACAGATATGGAGATCTGCTTTGGTCCTTTGGCCACCAGGGACCACTGCCTTGTATGTAAGTCTACCTAATATGCTCCTTTGCTGCCACACTAGAGTTGCCTGCCTCTTTCTTTGGTCTCTCAGCACCCTCCACTTTCAGAGACAAATTTCACGTTACTGGTCCATGTCTGGACAATCACAAAAAGGTGAGCCCTAACCTGTGATTCAAGCGCCCCAGCTGCCCCCACCTTCTTCAGCCTCCATTAAGAATGTTCTTTGTTACTCAGAACCAACTACCCTTTGCTAGGTTTTGAAACTGATAGGCCCAAGGGACAAAGTGTCAGATGGAGATGAGCTGGGAGGAGAAGACTGAGTTCTTCTCCTTGAGTTCCCGATGGGGCTCTGCTCCTCTGCCACCTACCTGTCTCATGTGCCGAAGTGACTTAAAGACCGGCAGCTTCCGAGGCTGCCAGCTACCACAGTCTGAGAGTGAGGACAAGTCTGTTGGGCATTTGATCTGCTCCTGCCCTTCTGCACCTTCAGGGAACACAAGGGTCTTCTCTTCTTCAGCCTCAGTGTTGTCCCAGCTTTCGGATTCCTCTTCTAAATCTGCAAGCCAGACGACAGGCAGTTACAGAACATGCTGTTCCGTGTCCCATACCGCCACGCCAGCCCCAAGTAGTTTGGGGGTCCTGAACCAGTTGGCTACTGACTGACAGAGCAGTCCCACACTACCATGTCAGCCCCAGGCAGTTTGGAGGTCCCGGGCCAGTAGTTACTGACTTCTGGTTCTGGCAAGTTGGCACATGCGGCCATGGCCTTGGGCACCCTGGAAAGGGGAGAGGTTCAGTCCACTGCTCACCTGGCCTGGTGCTGTGCCCTGGGTTTTTGAAGCACTCACCTGAAAGAGGCAAGCTGTTCACTGTTGTGGGGAAATTACAAAGCAATGATGAACACAAGAGCTCGCATTTATTGAATATTTCCTCTCCTAGGTGCTTTTCTAAGGGCTTTATGTACATTATTTCATTTTATCCTGTTAATGGTCCTGAGGTCAGTACTATTATCCCCATTTTACAAATGAAGAAATATTTGTTATTTCAGTTCATCTTCACGGCAACCCCCACAAGTGAGTGCATCTGTTTCACACCACAAATGAAACAGCTGGCCCAAAGGGAGGGACCTCGCCTGCACACTGCTGGTGCATGCCAGAGCCGAGACTGGAGTGAGGTTGGTTTGACTCCAGAGTGTGGCTCCAAACCCCGATTTTCACCTCCTTGATAACCAAAACACACCCCGGCATTTCTACCTTTTCCTAAAAGCTCTCATAGACTTGACTGACCAAGAAACCATCCTTGCTGTCTCCATCAGCCTAGAAATTTGTAATCACTACAGTGATGAGTGGTCCTAGGGTAGACCACCCACAAAGATGTGCAGGCAGACTGTGAGGTTTTCTTTTCCAAGCACGGTTTGCTCTAGATGGCTCTCTATTCTCTTTTTCCCCACTCAGGAAAGCTTGTTTGAATGCAAACATGTGCAAGTACCTTGACTAAAGGAATCACCCTGAAACAGCTCGCACTTATTAAAAAGGTAAACCATTCACAAAACGTAGCATGTAGAACACTATTTGTAACAAACTACCTGCTACATGCTTTACAAGTCTGATTTATTCAATCCCACAGCTGAGGTCTGTGGACCTCGATCACCAAAAATCAAATCACCCCAACAGAAAGCACAGCAGAATCCATGTCAGCGAGTCCTGGGCTGGTGCCAAGGTGCAGCAGAACCCCCTGGGAAGCTCCTCAAACACACAGGACACTGAACAACAGGTGTGGAGATTCTGATGCATGAATCTGGGGCAGGGCAGGTTTGGGAATCAATCTTCTTGATGGAAAACTTGAGTCTAACTGAAGTATAACATTGTATTTGTTGAACAGCAAAGAATGAGAGACTATCTGCAAGACCAACCACTAAGATACCCCATAAAATAGGAACAAGAAGAGCCTTCTACACTCACTTCCTTTCATGGATCAAAAACCAAAAAAAAAACCCACTGCCATCAAGTCGATTCCAACTCAGTGACCCTGTAGGACAGAACAGAACTGCCCCATAGGGTTTTCAAGGCTGTAAATCTTTACGGAAGCAGGCTGCCACATCTTTCTCCCATGGTGTGGCTGGTGGGTTCAAACCACCAACCTTTTTTGGTTAGCAGCCAAGCACTTTAACCACTGTGCCACCAGGGCTCCTTCCATAGATGGACAGCACTGATAGTGGGTTTTCCCACCTGCCTGAAAGAAACTCTTTCACACATCAAAGAGAGTGAGACAGGGACTCACAATAAAGACACCAAGATTAAACGGCGAGCTTCACCAATGCTCATCCTGGGCTACTCAGACCCACATTTCCCTGCGTCAGTGCTCCTGCAGGACAGGTCAGAACCCAGTGGCTGTCTGGTTGGAACAAGGACAGGCCCCAGCCAACGCAGGGCAAAGACTCCCAGCACAAGCCCTTCCAAGCCTCACCAGCGAGCTTCTCCATCTGGACCAGCGTGTCCTCGGTCGGTGCACCCTCCAGCAGCTTCTCGGTCAGCCGGCTGCCGCATGCTTTCAAAAGCCTGCAAAGCACAGTGCCAGCTATGAAGCAGTCTTGCTAAAAGAAAAACTAAACCTGAAATGGACCAAGCTTCTTGATCTACCAGTTTACAGGGAATATGGGGACAAAGGAACATGCTGAACACCACCATGAGGACACAATCAGTCACATCCAGAACACAGTCAATTCTACAAGACCAATGACCCAGGCCCTTCAATAAAAGGCAAGGGAAAAACGAAGCAGTGGGGAGCAGAAGACCCTGTTCCAGGCTGAGAGAGACTTATGCGACATAATTAAATCTAAGCAATGTGTGGGTGTTGTTCTGACCCCAATTCAAAAGTCACTCTTGAGACAAAAAGGGAAAACTGAACATGGACTGAGTACTGGATGATACTAAGGAATTATTGTCAATTTTGTTGGATGTGATAATGTATCACAGTTATATTTATGGTTGAAATGATGTAATTAAGATTTGCTTTCAAAAAATACTCCGGGAGAAAAAAAAGTGGGAGGATAAATGAGAAAGCAGCAGACTGTTGATAACTGCTAAAGCTGGTGATAGGGACATGTAGGTAGCTCAAGAAATTATACTATTTATTCTGCTTTGGGCATGTTTGAAAATATTTCCCTAACACATTTAAAAAGACAGGAGGAACTGTACATCGGGTGGGTTGGGAGGAGATAATTTTTTCCTTTAGCTCCCAGACCCTGAAGAGCTGTGTTCCAAGATCTGTAGTGAAGGAGCCTCTTCCACACCAGGACCTGGTTGAGATAACAAGACTCTAGATTTTAAGGGGAGGCTGCAAAGGAAGGGGAGCCCTAGTGGCACAGTGAAGAGCTCAGCTCCTAGACAAAAGGTCAGCAGTTCGAATCTACCAGCTGCTCTTCGGAAACCCTATGAGGCAGTTCTATACTCTGTCCTATAGGGTCATTATGAGTCGGAATTGACTCGATGGCAACAGGTGTGGCTTTGGCAAAGGAAGGAGACTTTGGGGGAACGAATCTATTTTGCATGTGGGAGGAGTATAAACAAACTGTCATCGGAGGACAGACTGTGGTGGCTTTCAAGTATGTCCACAAATTCTTTGACACTTCTCCCTTCAAAAGATTAAGCCTAATCCCCTCGTCATGGCTGTGGGCTGGACTTAGTGATGTAACACACTTCTGGTGAGCACTGTGTGGCTTCTGGGGCCAGGTCATACTCTGCCTTGCTCTCTCTTGGGTTAAATGGATCACTTGCTTGAGGTGGGGGTAGGAGGAGGCAGCTCTCACATCCACGTGATGAGGAACAGAGCAGGCCAGCGTGAGTTTGCCAGCCTCATGAGTGGGCCCTTTGGAAGTGGAGCCTCCAGCTGAACCTTTGGATGGCTGCAACCTCGGCCAACAAAGCACTCAGAGACACCCCTGCCAGAACCATCTGGCTCTGCCACTCTCGAATTTCTGACTTACAGAAGAAGTGAGAGAAAGGGTTACTATTATTTTTAAAAAGAGGTAGGAATCATTGGTCTCGGAATGTGAGCATCATTTCTTTTATATCACTGGGAAGTGAAGTCCATCTAAGTTTTCCATAAACCAAAGGAGAAAGCCTTGGGAAAAGGAAAGAGGGCTTGTTCATTGCCTAACAATTATGTACCCAGAGCTCCTCCACCAAAGCAATGAAAGGAACTCATGTAGGGACTGTTACACTCCCTGCTTTAATACTACCAAATTTGTAGCATTATCCAACCAACCCAACATTATTACGCTCATTCTAGCAGTTGAAAATCTCATTACCAAGCAAAGGAGGTGTGAAGACACGCCCACAAGTTGTCATCACTGGTCAAAGATGTCAGCGAACGGGCTGCATTGCCATTTCTTTGGTGCAGGAATGGTGTAAAAGCTGTGTTCATCCTCTGTGCGCGCTGTGGGCATCCAAACTGCTCCGCCTCAAACACCTGAAATGCAAAGGGATGGGAAGCTCTTTATCAGAGGAAAACTAGGCAGCCAAGGTCACTACTAACTCACAGCCAACTTCATGAATCCCATCACTCTTGGTGCAGGTTACAGAAACTGCCACCAGAACTGTTTTGCTTCTCCAGCTAGAGTAAAGGCCACTTGAGAGAGGACTCGATGGACGCCTTCTCCTGCACCCTCTTCTACAACTGACTCCTTAGGCACGTAACAGGCACTCGGGCAGACTACATGCTTAGACAGTCATCAGTGCTGTTCTCCAAACATTTCCAGTGCCCCCTTCCAGGTACAGGGAGGATTTCCCAACATGGCCCCTGGTGTGGGGTGAGGCATGTGACTAGTTCTGGCCAATGTGATGAGAGAGAGCAAGGTCCTCCGGTACTCTATTCCCTCCAGCAGGGCAAATGAGCAGCATTCTAGTCAGTTGCTGCCCTGTCTGGCTGGATGATTACAATTTAAGCAGATCCCCCTGTCATCCTGCAACACACATCACAAGCAAGAAGCAAACCCTTGTGGTTTTAATCTGCTGAGATTTGAGGGCCATCTGACCAGAGCCCGGCATGGTCTACCCCGACAGAGGCAATGCCACAACTGGAGGTCTAATTAGGAGCGGGTCTGCAACATGACTAATAGACAGTCTTCTGGAAGGAAGATCAGAGTGAGCAAAGACTCAGAAACCAGGGCTGAAACCTGGGTCTCAATGCCACTGGCAGTAAAGAAACCAGAGATGAACAAGAACCGGGACAACGGTGGGAGCAAGAGAGACAAAGACAGCCAAGTGAGGCCCAAATAACTGGGGGTTTATCACATATACCCCCAACTCCGAAGCCAAGAGATGATGACTCGGACAGAGCAGAAGCCCAGAATCAGTGGAAATAGAATTGGCTGGGCCGCACACTCTGCACCAGGGCAGAGAGACCTTCACTGCTGAGCCCCCAGTCCAGCAGGCCCCACATTTATCAGCATCACCTTAAGGGCCTTGCCCTGGAGCTCATCGATGATCCCACGGATCTTCCCAAGCAGGAAGGGCCAGGAGTTGATGAGATAGATGCGATCCATCATGATGGCAATGATGCTATACCAGCGCTGGAAGCCCCTGGCCAGGCTGTCTTTGATAAAGAAGGTGTGGCTGAACACAAAACCATGCTGCTCGTCCCCAAAGAAGATGGGGCCTTCACGGCCAGGGCAGACCTGGAAAAGCAGCAGTGATGTGAGGAAGCACTCTTCCCTTGCTTCAGGGACAGAGTCTCATCCACCTCCTCAGAATTCTCTCTGCACTAATGAGCCAGCATGAATTGTCAGGCAGAGTGGGGAGGGAAGGCGAGAAGGGGAAATTTTGCATTCATCTGCTACTCTAATCATTTTCTGAAGACATATTACATTTGTTATCATGAAAAGCAAGTAAAGTAGTTCTCTCTTTCTACCTTGAGTCAAAAAAATTCCTATACAAATATTACATCTATACTTGGTTCAAATTTGCCCACCTGGAATATACTTAAGAAAAGAAGGTCAAAAGAGCTACTACACAGTCCATATAATAAAATTTACATACTTTATTTCTAGGAGAGGACTATTACAAGTCCCTCCCTCATGACAATTTCATACGTAGTTCTAACACAGAATTATCTGCCTTCTAGCAGATTAGCAGCAGGAAATTAAAAGGAAGAAAACAGCTGAAAGCGAGCACATAGCCACAGTAAATGATAACTGGCAGCAAGGAAGCAGAAGCTGTCTGAGTAAGTGAATACCAGGGACAAGAAATTTTAGTAACTTAATTATGAATTCTTTGTGGCAAACAGACAAATACACTCCATAAAAGCTAAGACTCAAAACTCCACACCAGCAGCCACGGAGTTCAGGAACAAACTGACTGACACTCTTCACTAGGACCTGAGACCCCGTGATGACCACTGGGGCTTATAAAGACTTTACAAAAAGTTATGCTTAATACAGTGAAATACATATCCTAGAAATATTCCATATCTTAGAAATATGTCCAGTAATAAAAGTTTGGTGCTTAATGTGAAAAATCAGCAACCATCCAGAAACTCTAAGAATCTCACAGGACTTATTCTAAGGGGGTCTGGAGAACTGATGCAGTCTGCACTCTACACGAGGCAATGACCTCACCTAATCTAACCCTGAACTTGCTAAGGGTACCTTTCAACTGGGGAACATGTGAGATTCCTACACAGTCTCCCACATCAAAGGTGCTGACCTCACAGCTCAGGCTCCGAACACAGGCCTGGCGGACAATGCTGAAGAGCTGGGGGTGGTTGGGGTGCTGGTGGCTGACATATTTAATGGAGGTCTCCTTGTCATGGCTGATGTACCCCGGATGCCCCACAGCAAGGGATCGGCAGCCCTGCCCAGGAGAAAGAAAAGACAACCAGTTAGTCAGGAAGCTGTCAACAAACCCCTTTACTCTTATGCGAATCTGAATTTAGAAAAGTCAATCTATTTTTGTATGAAAATAACTGACTTCTAGATTTACGTTTATCTGAGGATTTAAATGCCGATGAGTCAGGTTGCCAGAGATTATTAGTAACAAATAATGTTAACTGAAACCTGCGTACCAGGCATTGTGATAAGAGCTTTGCATACTTCATCTCGCCTAATTCAAGGCACAACCCTGAGATAAACACAGTGAGAATCCCCATTTCACAGAAGGGGGAACTGAGGCTCCAAGATGCTCAGTGGCCAGCCCAGGGTCACAGAGCTGGTGAGGACAGAGCTGGGCCATACCTGCTGTGAACTTCTTTCGAGTGATGTGACCCATCCTGCCACGCAGGCCTCTGTCATTGGTCCCGACACAAACACCTGACAGGGCCTCGGGCCATAGCAAGAGGTCAAGCAAAGAACACAGAAGATGCCATGACCTCGAGGTGTCAGCCCTGCAGACACACCACTTGCATCACCTGCTTGGAGGCAACAGACTGATGGCCCAGCACTGCTGAACAAGCCAAGCATTGGTGCTACCCCTGCAGGCTGCTCCCACCAAAGGGCCAAGCACCAGGGGGCACCAAGCCGAGCCCCTTCCTACAAGATGCAGGCCCCTCCAATGGGCACCTGTGCTCAAGGCCCCTCAAATGGCCTGCCCAGACCCACTCAAGCCTCTTCCTGCCTAGCCCTCCCTCCCTTCTCCTCCTTACCTCCTGATCTTTCCCATCTACCCTTAACGGGTGCATCCTCACCGATCAACCTCCTGCATGCAGGATCCTGTCTTGGGATCCGTGTCTCAGCAAAACATGCTAGGTCCCCATTTCACACGGCAGTGACAGGCCCAACATCACCTGGATCCTGGGCCCTACCAGGTCCAATGCACTCAGAACTGATCTCACAAAGTGACACTGAGAGAGCTCCAGTGGGCGTGCTCCAACTACGGACACTTGGCTTTGGGAATCGGAGCGAAGCCTGGCAGAGGGTGTGAACCACATGTGAAAATGCCCACTGAGTGCGCCTGGTCTGTGCCCATCATCCGAGGAGCATGTCTACCACTCCACTGGGCCTCACACTGTTCCTGGCACTGGGTCTCTGGTCTGTCCCTCCTCTGCAGCACTTTCTGCTGACTATGTACCCCACAGCAGGGGCAGCAGCACAAGTACAATGCCCCCCACAGAGCAGGTGCTCCGGGGACCAAAAAGACACTCACCTCACACATGTCAGACTTTTTGGGCCCTGGGCTGCTAGCTTCAGCACTGGCCCCGTCTGCTGGGCTGTGGGAGTGGATGCGACTGCTCATCTGAATGCCACCTTCTTCCTCCTCGGCCTGCTCTCCCTGGCCAGGGCTGTCCCCACTCCCGGCCCCTTGGGGGAGTGGGGCATGTAGGACTTCCGTACAAAACAGAGTGCGGGGGCCATGCAGCTCGCAGAAGTGACACAGTGCGACGATGGCATTCATGGTGCCTGGGAACCAATGCACGGCCTACAGGGGAAGCAGGGGACACTGTCAGCTGGCCCGTGCCATGCATGCCACAAAGGTTCTGAAACTGGGGCACAGGACTACTAAGAGCCATTGTAGGTAAGTCGGCCCCAACACCAATGGGCTCCTGGCCCCACGGTGGTAAGCCCTACACCCAGCCAGTGTCCTGAGCCCTGACCTTGTGCCAGCACCATGTCAGGTGCAGGGGACAAACAGACCTGCCCTTGCCCACACAAGTTACAAGCAAACAAGAAGGAAAGGGTAACACCACAAAATGTGCCTTCAGTATAAGCGCTATGGAGTAAACAGTAGAGAAGAGAACACACACATGAGAATGACAAGGAAATGTAGCAAAACATGACAAATACCACTGGGACAACACAATGAAATACCACAGAAGTTCCAGGGAGAGAGTTCTTGTGTCCAGTAAATACCTGGTGGCCACCATGTGCAGGGGTGTTGGGTGATGTAGATGCACCCGTGAAGTCTGTCTTCTAGAAGAGTGACACACGAAAAGCTGCTTAATGTCATATGGGGACAAGTGTACAAAGAAAGCAAAGCAGCACACAGGACAGAGCATTATCAGAGGAGGTGGGAGACATAGCCCAAGAGGAAGGACACTTCAGAAGGGTACCCTAAGTGAGAGCTGAGGGAAGCAAGGAGCCGTGGGGGGACACCCTGGGAGAGGCACAGAACTTAGTGCATGGTGCCAGGCCTCAGGTAGGGCATGACTTGAGGGCCTGTACATGGCTGGGGAGGAGTGACAGGAGCAGCAGATGAGAGCGGGTAGCTACGAGGAAGCAGATTTTATGAGGACATAAGAGAGGCACAACCTCTGAACTGTATTTGAAAAGGATCATTCTGGCTGCTGTACGGAAAAGACTGTGGTTGAGGGGGAGGTGGAAGCAGGGAAAAAGCTGAGGTGCTCATACTGCTTGGAGAGTAGTCATGTTGTGACTGCATTTCCAAGGCAGAGTCGGCAGAGGTCACCGAGGGACAGACCGTGGGTCAGAGGGAGAGGACCAGCCAGGGAGCAGAAAGTAAACTCAAAGTATCATCCCAGAGACCAAGAGAAAAGTAAGTGTTCTGAGGAGGAGGGGTGGATGGTCCCTGCAGAGTGGTGGACCTGTACAGTGGAATGAGGGCAAGCCTCATGGGAATGGGGTCAAAGAGAAGAGGAGGAGCCTTCTTTGAGAGGCACAAAGGAAAGAGAAGCAAATTAGGCAAATCTATAGAGACAGAAAGCAGATTAGAGGTTACCAGGGGCATTACCAGGTTATCAGGAAAAGGGAATGGGGAGTTATTGGTTAATGGGTACAGAGTTTCTGTTTGGCGTGAAAAGAAGTTTGAGAAATAGACAATGATGAAGGTTACACAACATTGTAAATATAATTAATGAGTACACTTAAGAATAGTTAAAAATGGCAAATTTATGTTGTATATATTTTAGCACAATAAAACTTTTTAAAAAATCATTCCAGCAAAACACCCACATGAAAGCAGCATGTAGTCAATTTCCACCTATCTCAAAGCATCGAAACTGACCTTGTTATTTAGCAGAACTGCACTTCCACCATCCTCCCTAGACCACTGTATGCAAGTCCATTTCCAAATGAGTCAGACATGGTGTCTTAGTTATCTACTGCTGCTATAACAGAAATACCACAAGTGGATGGCTTTAACAAACAGAAATTTATTCCCTCACAGTTTAGGAGGCTAGAAGTCCGAATTCAGGGTGCCAGCTCCAGGGGAAGGCTTTCTCTCTCTGTCGGCTCTGGGGGAAGGTCCTCATCATTAATCTTCCCCTGGTCTAGGAGCTTCTCAGCACAAGGACCCCAGGTCCAAAGGACGCGCTATTCTCCTGGCTCTTGTTTCTTGGTAGTATGAGGTCCCCATGTCTCTCCACTTGCTTCTCTCTTTTATATCTCAAAAGACATTGGTTTAAGACACAACCTAATCTTGTAGATTGAGTCCTGCCTCATTAACATAACTGCCTCTACTCCTGCCTCATTAACATCATAGAGGTAAGATTTACAACACATAGGAAAATCACATCAGATGACAAAATGGTGGACAATCACACAATAGTGGGAATCACGGCCTAGCCAAGTTGACACACATTTTTGGGGGGACACAATTCAATCCATGACACATGGCAACCGTAGTCATACTTCAGTTCTAAGACATGACATTTTCTAGGCGAGAGAAAGAAAATCCGGAGCTAATTCTAAGAGCAATGGTCTTTATAGCTCTAACAATGTTTTCAATTCATTGTTAGTTGCCAATTCCAACTCATAGCAACCCCATGTGCGCAGAGTAGAACTGCTCCACTGGGTTTTCAACCTGTCTTCTGAGGTGCCTCTGCGTGGGTTTGAACTGCCAACCTTTTGGCTAGTAATTGAGTGCTTAACCATTTGCACCACCCAGGGACTCCTTAAGCAGCATATATTAGGTGTCCTCAGATTGATTTTCAACTCATAGTGATCCCATGTGACCGAGTATAACTGCCCAATAGGGTTTTCTTGGCTGTAATCTTTACAGGGGCAGAGAGCCAGGTCTTTATCCTCGAGGAGCTGCTGGGAAGGTTTGAACACCCAACCTTTTGGTTAGTAGCTGAGCACTTAACCATTACGCTACCAGATGAGTAAACATTACATCCACGGGTTCATTGGATTGAGGGTTTCAATCATTACGGAGAAGAAACATATCTAATACCCACTAAAAAAGTAAATAACAGAGCTCCTTCCATTCTGGCTATGATGGTTCAAATAGTTACTCTAGTCCAATGGTTCTCAAACTGGCTTCTGAGTACGCCGAACATCTCTTTAATAAGCTTTCCAGAACCCAGGTAAGAGACAGAAATCCTTCCCTGCCTGACAATCCCTTCGACATTAGAGTCAAAGTAAGTATTCAAGTACCTAGAAGAGGCAGGCTTCCTGTCCACCTTACCCTCACACACTGGCTAAGCCCATGCACCTGACAGTGATCTCTGTACTCATTCTCCCACCATGGCATAGCCTATGCCCTGGACCTATTTCATAGGACCATGAAGATTAGACAGTAAGTAAAAGCACTCTGAAAATAAATGAGATATCACAATGGTACTTAACCAGTCGTGAGCATCAGACTCATCTCCCACAGAGGACCTTAAATCAGTGGTTAGGATCCTAGTAAGAACAAGGTGGAAAAGGTCCACAGGGGATTACTTCTAGCTCAGACTCACTCACACTGTGGCTCTACTACTTCTACTGACATCATCTATGCTTCTGTTTACACAACTCCTTAATATAAGACACTAGAAGGGGAAACAGGGTCACATGCCAGCCACTGTTACTCAATGACTCAATGACAATGTTGGTGATCTAGTACCGCCAGCACTAGAATGACCATGGCCTTTCTCTGGTGCAACAAGGAGGCTCTCCTGCCAACCTGACTAGACACCAATGGGTGGTGCCAGGTGTCCAAGGGCCAAAGAACTAGTACCTCCTTGCAGCAAGCTCCTCCTCACCCTCTGCCTCAGGTGGCTGCTACTGACCAGTTTGGGCCTTCATCTGCAACAAACCAATCTCTGGACTCCACATTCTTTCCAGGTGATAAAAATACCTCTAACAAAACCCACCAAACTAGAGAGATGGGTGGTCCATCTTCCTGCTCTGGAGGACACCAATACAGGCCTATTACCTTGTCAGAAGATCCTCAGAATGCCAACCTGGGAGAAAAAGAATCCGGACAAACACTCTCCCCTAAACAAGGCAAAACACAGGTGGGGGACATCCGGGCAACATGGCGCTATAGGCAGAAGCACCATGTCGTCCCTCCACAGCAAAGATTTGAAAAACTAAGCCGAACAGAGAAAACGGCAATCCTGAAACCCTAAGCATCAAGTGAAGAGATAAACAACTCAGCCAAGCACCAAATGGAATAAGAAACTGACAGAGAACAGAGAGCAAGGAGAGATATATGCAGAGGTCCCCTATCAGCTAACACAGCATGGATCCGCCATCTTGGACTCCTATCAGAGACCAGCAAACAAGGGGTAAGAGAAAGCAGCTTCACGGAGCTTCCAGCAGGAGACAGAACAACCGGTAATCAGCGATATACGCTTTCCCACCCCCCACCCTTCTTCACCCCCACTCGGTCTCCTCTGCTTCCCATGGCCACAGTCTCTTGGCCAAGAAGCATCTGCTTCACCTTGGTGATGCTTGGATTCCACCTGCCCGCACTGGCTGGCTCCCTAAGTGCCATTTGCTGGCGGCTGGTGTTGCTTTTTTCCGCTCTTTAGATTTCTTCCTTATCTCTCACCACCTCCCCCTCCTTTCTCTCAAATACCTGGCTCCGTGTGCCATCTCTGCTTCTTCCTGAAAGGCTGTGAAACACTGATCAAATGTGAGACTGCATCCCAGCCCGTGCTGCCATGCTGGTTGGATCCCAGGCTTTTTTTGGTTTATTTTCAATTGTTTGTTTGTTTTCTTTTTCTATTCTTGAATTGGGAGCCTGTTCTAGCCAGGCAGTACTGCGCAGCTTGGGACCTACCCCCTCAGTTTGCGCAGACACGCAGATGGATACCTGAGGGCATTTATTTTTCCTGTTTTGGGGGGGGGTTTTCTTGTGTTTTTTTTTTTTTTTTAATTTGTTTTCTTTTCTCTCTTTGTTACTCAGTTTCTTGTCTCTCTATACTTTCCCTCTCTTCCTGTCCCCTGAATACCTGGCGCTGAGTGACAGCTCTACACCTTCTAGCCAGGCTGCACCTCACGGCCTGGGAGCAACTTCCCCAGAATTTGCAGTTACACCGGTGGGATCCCTGGAAGCTTTTCTTTTCTTTTTTCCTTCTAATTTTTATTTATGCATTTCTTTTCTTTTCTTTTTTTCTTCTTCTCCTTTTTGTTTTGCTCCGTTTCATAGTCTCTCATCTCTCCACTGCAACAGCAGGCTCCCCTAGCACTCTTTTCTGTTTTTATGTTATTGGCTCCTGTTCCTCTCTCCTCTCTCCCATACCCATCTTCGCTCCACACATCACAATCTTCCCCCCACCCCACCACTACATCCTGCCTACCTGCACTGTGCGCTGAACATCAAACCACCAAGCAGCACAGGCACGGCCTACAAGAACCTGCCCTGCACTGATTACTGGCCCGCCCTGGCAGCCGCAGTAAGTGCCACAAACAACCCATCCCAGCAACTCTTCAGCTAGACCTGCCCTGCTGTACCATATCTGAGCGACTGATCCTGCCAACTGGAGAAGAAGGCAAAAAGTATCATACCCACAGAAGAACAAACAACGAAGAACACACAGCCCACCTGCTCAAAGCCAAATAAAACAAAAAAAAAGGATGAAATAAACCAATCTACAATCAATCAATGAGAAAAATAACTACCGAATGCCCCAAAGATAGCTGACAATATCAAAACATTTACAAACACAGGACAGGATGGTTCCAGTAGGTGTCCAAAATAAAACACCAGATGA